CACATACCTATAATCCCAGCATTTAGGGGGTTGAGGCATGAGGATTGCCATGAGTTCAAATCCAACGTGAGCTATATAGTAAATTCAAGGTGTACCCAAATTACACAGACAGACACCATCTCAAAAAAAAAACAAACAAAAATTTAAAAGTCATGAGACAAGTGTGGTAGCGCATGCCTGTAATCTCAGCACTTGGGAAGCTGAGGCAGGAGGCTCTTTGCAAGTTTAAGGCCAGCCTGAGCTACATAGTGAGAACCTGCCTCAAAAAAATAAAACAAAATGAAAAAGTCATGAGACTGGACGAACCTGAAAAAGAAAAGTAGATGGATGCAAATGAATGAATGAATCTTCAGCCTGTTCAGAAGTATGAAAGCTGTGGGTGGGGGATTTAGCTCAGCGGCACAGCGCCTGCCTGGCAAGCACAACGTTGTGAGTTTGATTCCCGGTACCAGAAGAAAAAGAACAACAACAACAACAGAAAGTGTGAAAGCTGTGACCATGGCTCACACTCTGGGCACCAGGAGAGGAAGCTAAGGGCCGGAGGAGGGTGGCCTGTGTGGGGAGAGAGGACATCTGAGCTTGCCCTTGAAGGAGGGGAGAAGGCAGGAGACTTCAACCACTGAAGAGTATTTACAAAGCAGGGAAGCGTGAAGGAACTGGGTGAGTGAGGCTCCCCTAAAGTCTGCTCTGTTTGGGCTTTTCATCTCCTTCCCTGCAGGGAACCTCACAGTGAGCTGTGTGAGCTACATCCTCAGCCTTGTTAGAATTCCTGGGGACCGGACAGGGTCTTGGCTGAGCCCGGCACTCTCTTGGGGAGATGGCATCATGCAGACCCCTCCCTGCAAGCCTGAGAAGGACCAGTGCCCTATTGCTGCCCCTAAAGCAGCACCCTTCTCTGTGGGGGCTGCCAGGAGTGTGGGCTCTCCCCCTGCCCAGGGCTTGGTGGAGGCGGAGTTGTAGGGTTGTAGGCGGAGCCTGTCTTGGAATCAGACCAGCTAGACGCAGCTAGAGTTTAAATCCCTGCTCTGGTACTCACTGGCTTTGTGACTTTAGGCAAGGTATTCAATTTCTGTCTTACTGTCTTTCTGTCTGTCTGTCTGTCTTTCTTGCTCTTGCTTTGTTTTTGAGACATTTCTGAGGTTCCATTTCCATATTTATAAAACAAGACCACCAAAAGCAATCTGCAGCTGGGCATGGTGGAGCACACTCAGGAGGATTGCTGTGAGTTCAGAGCCAGCCTGGGCCACATAGTGAGTGCACAGCCAGCCTGAACTACAACATAGCAAGACCCTGTCTCAAAAAAAAAAAAAAAAGCCAGGCATGCTACACCTGTAATCCCAGTACTCAGGAGGCTGAGGCAGGAGGATCACTGAGAGTTCAAGGCCATAGTGAGTTCCAAATCAACCTGAACTACATATGAGTCCCTATCTCAGAAAAAAAAAGAAAAAAGAAAAAAAAGCAGTCTGCATCTGTAGCATCTTCCTCCAGGGATGGTTGTGAGAATGAAATGAACTGGATGGATATCATCTTCTGACCCCTTCCTTGCCAAACACGGGCCTTATTGAGCAGATTTTCTACACTGCCTTGTTTCTACTCTCCAGCCCCTGCAGGGAAAGTGTCCCTTCCTCTCTGATATGTCTGCACTGGGAGGGACACTGTCCCTCTCTCCCCAGGCCCTAATGCTCCCTGGGCGGCTCCTCCCACTGGGCATCTCCTCCCGCCTACTTCCAAAGGATGGCTTTTCCCTTCCTCCAACACGTCCGCTCCCCAACATCCCACTCTCCAGCCCTCAGCTGCTCCCTGTCATCCATCCTCCCCCTCACCGAGGCCCGGGAGCCTAGGTAGGATCTGTGCTTTCCTCTGCGTCAGGAACAGGTCACATTCTGCCTGCACACAGCTCACTGAGGGGGCAGGCGGTTATCTCATGGTATGAGCAGCAAGCAGGGCAGAGTCCCCAGATTTCCCAAAAGGAATGACTTTATAGCTGGACACATGGTACACATCTGTAATCTCCTAATTCTCAAGGAGGTTGAGCCAGGAGGATGGCAGGGAGTTTGGAGCCAGTCTGGGCTACATAGTGAGTTCAAGGTCAACCTGAATCATATAGTGAGACTTTGTCTCAAAAAAAAAAAAAAAAAATTAGAAAATACAAAATAAAATAAAAAAGGATGAGGACATAGCTAAGTGCAAGACCCTGGATTTATT